GCGAAAGTCAAGCTGACCCCCACCGTAGTATCTGTTAAGCGCCGGTAGGTGGTGACGAAGCGCCAGAGAACCACTTTGGCTTTTATAGAGAACAACGAAAGGCTTGATGTGAAATTGGCATCATCGTAAGTATTTAGGTGTTGGCATGATAACGACTGAAGTAACTCGCTACATTTACAGATTTGCCAACAAAGCCTTCGATAAGAGTCCATATAATCCAAGACGCCCCTGTTCATGAAGTGTTCTATCGAATCTGTTAAGTGCTTAGGCTGGGAAGGACATGCCCCCGCAGTATTCACAAAGTGAGTTTTTATCCTCCCCCACACACATTTTCCTCGTAAAATGCACGATTTTTACGTCTTCCTGTTCAAAATATCACTTTAAGATAGGGTGTGCCTTCCGCATTCCAGTTTGTAAAGTGTGCCTCCAGTTTAACCACCGTAATTCTGATCCCCCAGCACCACCACCACCACTACCAGCCGAGCTTAGAGATGTGATTACACATGCCCACGATTTTCCCAAGACGGAGTTTTTTCTCCACTGATTCTGCCCGTACTTTTTCCATACTTTTTCCATTCAAAATGCAATATTAGGGTATTAGTGTTAGGCTATTCCCCGACTTCAATTTGAACTCTCCAATCCTGATTTGTTCCCACCAATTTCAGTGACGTGGTTTCACCCACACGCTTAGTTGTTAAGACAGGAAAGCGAAAAACAGAAGCCATATTGTCCTTGATGTTTTGTCCTTAATTGTCCTACATATTTGTCGTATGCCATATTCTCTGTAAAAACGACGCAAAAACATCTGAAAATTTCGCATGACATCTCGTACATTGGGATTGAGGTTAAGTAAGCACTGCGTAATAAGGAAAAGTACCGAAGGAAGTCGACAGCAGCCTGACCGCCATGGAGTGTTGAGAAGGTGAGGAGTCCCAAGGTCAGAATTACCGCCGACCTTGTCAAGAGCCGCACGGCCAAGCCACTGGTCATCAAGACAGTCGAGATCAGGGAAGGTCAAGAGGTTCCCAAACAGCAAAGAAATTCATGAAAGCAAAGAAATCCCCTAATGCGCGTGGAGAACACTGGTGCGGTCACCGGCTGGAAACGTAAAGAGAACCGCAAGACGGTTGAATGCGCCCAAACTGACTAGGTCCGCAGCAGCCAGAGCGTTCCAAAATGGATAAGTAAAAAAGCAGCCAAAGTCATGTGATCCGTGACATGGCCAGAAAAAAACGAAAAACGTTCGATCATATGCTTTGTAAGGTTCGTGTGTCGTAACGTGTCAGCCGACTACAGCCTTCCGCTTTGCGGCAAGGCTGTTCAGACACAACCTAAGGCTTTTGATATGGTCTGGGCTCCAACACGGTCAGAGGAATCTGCAGTGTGCGGAAGGACAGCAAGATGGCTTCTGATCTTCTCGCGACTCTCTTAAAACTGTAAAGGTGCAATGAAAGACTACTAAATGCCTGAAATTGGCAGACCGCAGCAACAGCTCGGAGGACTGCTGCTTATCCGATAGCTGGGTTCAGGTAATTGCAAGGGCCCTCAAGATGATTAGAGACATCCAAGACCGTGAACAGACTCCGAGGTGATCAACAGATGCTGTATAATTCAACCAGCTAACTTATTACTGTTCATCCTGCTAGCAAACATTCATTTCATCGCTTAGATGGCCAGAGGCTGTGCAAAACACGCAGCAACCAAATGACCGGTGACCTCACGCGATATGCGTCGGCAGTCCGCCTGGCCGACTGCACCACAAAATGCTCCAAAGATACTTAAAATGCCCGAAATCCTGTACCTTTTGAGACCATTCAGACCAGGGTTTAGATAGCTTTGACGTCCAGAGGGGTGCGAAGGGTTGGGAAGCCGTAGCCCTGAGGAGCAGGCGTTATGTTTCAACGGTTTTGTCGTTGTCGAATTGCTTTAGTTCTTTGGTCACGAAGATCACTGTTCTCTGGCGGCCATTGGTCCATGCAGCAGTAGGTCGAGCTACTCGATCGTGGAGACGAGCTGTCCACTGATCACGGGCGGCGCAAGCGCCTCCTGAAGCACTAAGTTCACTCTGAATGTGCCCTTCCGACACCGTCTGGACTCGAGCACCTTTGGATCATGAACCCCTCCCCTATCTCTTCTCTCCTCTCTCTCTCTTATCTCTCTCTCTCTCTCTCTCTCTCTCTCCTCTCTCTCTCCTCTCTCTCTCTCTCTCTCTCTCTCCTCTCTCTCTCTCTCTCCCCCTCTCTCTCTCTCTCTCTCTCTCTCTCTCTCTCTCTCTCCTCTCTCTCTCTCTCTCTCTCTCTCTCTCTCTCTCTCCCTCTCTCTTCCTCTCTGTAGATCCACCCACAGACCCGTGCACCCCCTTGCCCCCGTCCCAAGCGCGCCCCTGCAGCCCCCCCCCCCCCGCCGACCGCACCGACGGTCGCCCTGTGTGCCGCGTCGGCGCCGGCGCTGCCTTATGGCACCATTTGGCAGCGCGTCCTGGAAGCATGTATCTAATTTATAAATACCTGGTCCGGGGGCGCTGGCGAGGCGGCGGCGAGGCGCGCCTCCAGTCAGTCCGTGGGTGACTGGTGGGTGACCCCGGCGCCGCGCTGCCGCTGACCTCGCGCGACCGGTGACCTTTCGCGATATGCGTCGGCAGTCCGCCTGCTGACCGACTGCACAGCGAGCCCCGGCCCGAGCGCACCGGCCGTGCGCGATGCCCGCGTCCATGGAGGACGGAGTAAGTGGAAGAGCTGTCGGCCCCACGTTCGTGTGTAGAATAGTCGCCGGCGCTGTGCGTGCTGCGTTGCGATGGGCGGCCAGGAGGACGGGTCCAGCTCCATACCCAAGGACAGCTAGCGGTTTTGCGCGCGCTGGTGTCCAGGAGGCAGTCCCGTGCGAGGTCTGCGACCTGGGCCGAGGTGGCAGGTGCTTCACGTCTGGTGCGTCTGTCTCGAGGGGAGCCAGAGGTCGGGTCGAGAGGTGGAAGAGGCTGTGTTTGGTGAGCCTGCGTCGCCCCGAGTTTGTCAGTGACGCTTACGACTTCCAGCGGAACCACGTGTTGAAGAAGCTCTTCACGAGAAAAGTTTGCTGGCGGGCAGGCCTACGGGCAGCTGGTTATGTAGCGGGATGGGAACTCTCCCGTCCCGTTTAGTATGTGGTTATTACAAGGGTGGAAAATAACGCCAATGGAGTGTACTTTTTCCACAAATAATACACCATCTCTTTTGCACTCGTGATATGAGTGATGATGCCATCAGCCGTAGGAGGCCCTGCTATGTGATCTTGAGGGATTCGATGATGGTGCGGGAGTGTTGCAAGCGTTCTTCGACCTTTTGTGAGGATCAGTAACGGCGGCTCCTCTAAGGACTATGGTGGGTCAGGAGGGAAAGACTAGTTTTGCTTGGTTGCGTTTTATCCAATCATACAAAAGCCTTCAAGAAAACGGCAGAGAAGCTTCCCAAATCCACCAGCACTGGTAAAATTACGATAGGTTATATAAGGACATACAGATACTCTACGACTCCCGAAAGGTGTAATGATTTTAGTGGCATTGTTTTCACCACGGTTTCTTAACACAGGCTGGTCAGGCTGAAATGGTGCTGCTGTACCACCTCGCGTCACTTCGATTGGCATACAGATGGCGGTAGTCACAATTTGCCACCCTACTTGGCCGTGTTGAGGTTTGGTCCTCGTTATTGTCGGCAGTGTTGAGCAGATTGCCTTGATTTCCGGTGGGGATGATCCACCCTCACATCTGGCGGTGGTGTAGGGCCAGCCGCCTCAGTTGCCATGGCTGCCGGCCTGACCGTCACATCTGGCAGTGCTGTAGGCCAGCTGCCTCAGTTGCCGTGGCTGCCGGTCTAACCGTCACATCTGGCGGTGGTGTAGGGCCAGTCGCCTCAGTTGCCGTGGCTGCCGGTCTGACCGTCACATCTGGCTGTGGTGTAGGTCAGACGCCTCAGTTGCCGTGGCTGCCGGTCTGACCGTCACAGCAGGCGGTGGTGTAGGCCAGCCGCCTCAGTTGCCGCGGTTGCCGGGCTGACCATCACAACAGGCGGTAGTGTAGGGCCAGCCGCCTCAGTTGCCGTGGCTGCCGGTCTGACCGTCACATCTGGCGGTGGTGTAGGCCAGCCGCCTTAGTTGCCGTGGCTGCCGGTCTGACCACCACATCTGGCGGTGATGTAGGGCCGGCCGCCTCAGTTGCCGTGGCTGCCGGTCTGACCACATCTGGCGGTGGTGTAGGGCCGGCCGTCTGAGTTGCCGTGGCTGCCGGTCTGACCACCACATCTGGCGGTGGTGCAGGGCCGGCGCCTCAGCTGTGGTGGCTGCCGGCCTGACCACCACATCTGGCGGTGATGTAGGGCCGGCCGCCTCAGTTGCCGTGGCTGCCGGTCTGACCGTCACATCTGGCGGTGGTGTAGGGCCGGCCGTCTCAGTTGCCGTGGCTGCCGGTCTGACCACCACATCTGGCGGTGGTGCAGGGCCGGCGCCTCAGCTGCGGTGGCTGCCGGCCTGACCACCACATCTGGCGGCGGTTTGCGTGCCGGTGGCGGCAGCTGGCGGCCGAAGCGACAGACCGGCAGGAGTTATCGCGGATGTGAGCAGTCCGGAAATCCCGATGAATGGTTTGGACTGTACAATACTGTACGAAAGATGATCAGCAAGCAAGGCAGAGGGGGCCGGAATTGACCACCAAATCAGATTGAAACCAACTGATGTGCATTCAGGCAACACAAATTTCTAGTTCGTCTGACATGTTTTCATTTAAGTCAGGGCTTGAAGAAACTTATGTAAACTTTAAAGCACTGGAATGGTGGGCACCTAGGCGTGCGAGATTTGTGTTACAATCTCCAGCCTGTGCTTCAGTGTGCCATAACGGTTCTTCAGCATTGTTCCAACGCTATATTCTCTGCTTGTGATGCGGCGTGGGACAATGCCACCGTTGGGCAGACCTCAATTACTTTCAATTTTCGTTTCTATGTTTGTCTTGATTGAGTTTGCTCTGAAACTTCTGTGGTTTACCTTCTGCAGCCGTTGCTAATAATCGAATATCTGGTATTAAGGAAACAGACGTTCTCGTTCACATCCAGCGTAGCGCATACATCCGTTGCATGGCATAATACTTTTTCCGCCTTGAATAGCCATTGTCGTCCAGATACAGGGACGGAGAAATAACGCACCATCACGTTCCTGATACGCTTCTAACACGTTTGACACGTTTCTCCGTCCTTCATTTGCTATGAATCCTTTCAACGTCGCGTACGCAATCCACGTGTTGGAGCCGATGCCGATCGGTACGTTTTTGCCTAGGGCGTTCCTCTACGCTCGGTATCACTGCAAGGTCCGCTGGAGCTATCTCGGGAACATTTGGCTCCACGCCTGGGGCGTAATTATCTCCCGATCTGGACCAGTGGGGCACTGGGTTCGGTGCTTTCGCAATAAGTTGCACCTGTCGTGAAACCCGATGTCGATGAATTTATCGCTGAGAACGACGGACCAGCTGCTCAGATGCTGAAACTATAAGCATGTCGATCGCTGGGTGATCAATATGTGTTTGCTTTTGAGCACGTAATGATATCATAAGCTTCGATACAGACTAGCACTTGGCAGGATATGTGAAAACATATTGGAGTCAACATTACAAGTACATTGAGAGAGGGGCGTGGTGCTGCGGTCGATCAGTTACCATGGATTGTGAGAGGTCATCGGACTCGAGTTTGAATAACTTGCCAGCGTTTTGTGTGCCGTACTAGGGTACGTCAGAGACAAAATCATTATTTACATCCCACGCGTGCATTGCAAAATCATGAAAGGTCTGTGAAGAGAGGTCCTATCCATCGGAAAGCCAAATATTGCCAACGAGCCTGCATTATCAAAACCAAGGTCAGTTGCCCTTGGCGTTGTTCTGTTGTGGTGCCAAGGAGTGAAACGTGACAGCTATGTGGGTCTGAAAGCGAACGAGCGAACGATCATGTTGTGTGTGATCAGGTGTGGGCGTCTGAAAGCACGTGTAGTTGCGTCCAATCAGAGAAGAGTGTGAAGGCTTTTCGGAGGTAGGAGCGCACTACACTGATCTTGTGCTGGTCGGGGCATTGGCTTGTGGCACTGAGGCATCACTTGGTTTTCCACGTCGTGGCTCATGTAGGCGTTGGCAAAAAGCGATCCCAGGGGGACGTGGACCATCCGTTCCCCTTGGTCTTCCCTGGGACCGCTTTTTGCCAACGCCTCCACGTGTCAAGTGGAAAACAGTATCCTTCGAAATGCATCCCTCCGTACCGCATTTTACGCACGATATGTCGTTGACGTTTTTATTAACGCCAGTCACGGAAGCCAACTGATCGAACCAAAAATGCGACGGAACAAGCTTCAGTTCTCCCATTCACCTACGAACTAAGAGTCACTAACCGCATTCCATTTTTAGACATAGACATTACTGCTGACCAATAACGATTCGTGACAACAGGTACAAAAAGCCAGTAGATGCTGAACGATTCCTCAGTGCCACCAGCGAGTGCCCCGACCGGTACAAGATCAGTGTTGTGCGCTCCTACCTCCGAAGAGCCTTTACACTCTGCTCTGATTGGACGCAACGCAACTATACAGTGAGCTGCAGCGCATCAAACGAGTCATGAAAAATAATGACTACTCCAATAGTGTCGACCATGAAACTCATCTTTATGACGCGATATCAAACTGAAGCTCACGCTATCGGACATAAGCCAAATCCAATTAAACTGCTCTATCAAAATCAAATGCCTGATAGCTATATGACAGACGAACGTATCCTCAAGGAAATAACGTCTGACAACCTCAAGCCAGTCAACCAGGACAAGACAACACTCACTATCAACTAAAAAAGCAGGAAGGTCACCCAGCTCATCACAGAAATAATCTCACGGCCAGATTTGACCCATTTAAATAACATAATGTGCAATCATACTATCTTATTGTCACCACTACCACACTTTCAAACTGGTTGACGATGCAGTTGGCTGACGGTGCTCCAAAAGAGCACATGGTAACACTCGGCTGGAACATCACCAGAGACGACCTCATCAGAAAAACCATAATCATCACATGATCATCAAATCGGGGAAGCTTTATGTTCTGGAGGCTGTCACGATCAAAACATCGCCACCGAAGTGAACAACCAAACCAAGGCCACATTCATCCCTCACCCTATTAAGGGACGATCGATGGCATCGGTAGATGTTGTATCTTACAATTCGCCACATGTTTTGCCGCTTAAATTCTCAAGATCCTAAAAAAGTCAACCACATAATTTAAAATCTGCACAATTCGACGATCGAACTAAACAAGATAATGTCGAATTGTTGTACACTACTGATTATACCTAACTAATCTGTAATTATATATTCGTCGCTTATATTTTGTATTTGTATACCTTCGAAGATGGAATACGTAGTTTCAAAACGTCAGCCCAACCAATAGATGCCAAACATCGGCGAATTTATTTCAGTGTCTATGATAAACAAACAACCGGAGTCAGAAAACTAGAGCAAGTGCAGAAAAGCTCATTAAGTTTAAATGCTCTTACGCCAAGGTATTTAACAACACGTGTGTACGTATATATATATATATATATATATATATATATATATATATATATGCACTGGTCTTATTTTTATAACATCATGCCAGAGGTGAGCTGTGTGGGTCTCTTCGCCACCGCTGACTGAGGGATGCAAGGCCGCTGTCGGTTTGCCAACGCTCCGTGCACGTCAGCGAACCTAGCGCTCTTAAGCGCAGCGAAAGCTACGAGGCTGCTCCGGCACATTTTCGCAAAATGTGCAATACTTACAGCCGGAACTGATGTGGCAATGTCGGCGATGACTTCGCAGCGGAACACAAAGAAACCGCAGGCAGCTTCGCCGCTTTGTTGCTGTTCCCCTCATGACGTCATATCAGTGGTGAGCCGCGTGGGTCTCTCCGGCGCCGCTGAGTCAGGGCTGCAAGGCAGCTGTCGGTCTGCCGGCGCCCCGTGCGCGTCAACAAACCGCGAGTGAAGCGACGCTGGCTGACCAGGATCCCATGCGCGATCCTGGGGCAGTTGGCTCGATCAAAAGACGCCTGAGGCGGGACTCATGCGGCGTAGAGTTTCCGTAAAACAGTCATTGTAAGACCTACCTGCATGAGGTCAAATTATTTAATTCAGGCATTTTTCGGGACGTGGCGTGGAACGCGGTATTTGGGGCGTCAGCGACAGTCCATCGCAGTCTGCTGTCGTCCGTGCAAAGAGTCATGCACCCGGAGGTGTGCACGGTGTGAAGACAAGTGCAGTATCGTCTATGATGTGCTGGCTAAATCCCAGTCTTTTGAACTAAATACCGTCGCACTGATCATAAGCCAAGTGACTTGGCAACCATGGGTGGTGACGTGTGAACTATGCCTGAAGCCCTTTATCATCATGGGGATCTTGGCACTTCCGGGATATGCATTCAAGCGTTCGGACACAGAAGATTCGCGGCCGACTGCTACTGATGAGTGGCTGCACTTTGTAGCGATGCCTTTGATGTCGAAAGACTAGTGTAGCGGTCTCAACGAACCCCTTAGTAGTATAAGCAAACCCGTTAGTGGCCTCAGCGAACCCATTAGCGGCCTCAGCGAACCCCTTAGTGGCTTCAGCGAACCCCTTACTGGCCTCAGCGAACCCATTAGCGACCTCAGGCTCCTAGCCTGAGCGGAACTGATGCATGCCTTGAGTCTCTGGAATGTTTTGCGCCTACACCTAACAATGGTTGATTGTAGCTTATGCCCATCCTACCATATCCTCATAATCCTCCGCTGCAGCCACATCAAACACTTCGCATTGCTCTGCGCGGCCGTGTAGACCATTAATTACTCGTTTTTACTGACCTCTGATCTATAATGACCTACCATCAGTCTCGTGACCCGGCACGTCTTGGATTCTTCCCCAGCCGCGACCTCCTGAAAGGGTGAAAGAAGCTCCATTCGTTATCTTAGGAACTGGTTGACGGATTGAATGCAATTATATGACGATGGATAGCTCCGGTCAGTCTCGACAAGGAAAAGCAAATTTTTTTTATTTTTTATTTTTTTACCTATTCATATAGCTGTGATCATCGCAGACCATGACGATGTCACGCTTATTCCAATTTCTCCGACCGTCGGGACCTTCTGGAACACATATCAATGGTTATGTAGTTTTTAACCCGAATCGAACAAACAAATGGTCTGCTTTGGCGCGTCAGAACATGTTATAACATCATCAAAATTTGTCGTGCAAGGTCTAGTCAGGTGAAGGTAAGGTCGGCTCGTTGGATACGGCTGTCTGGCTCTGCCGTGCGACAGGACCTACACTGACCTACGATGGCCTACTCCGTGGCCATTAATTTTGAAATTTGGATGATGGTTTGGATGTAGGATGCAAAGACTCGTAAGAAACAGCGATACGACAGCTCTGGTTCGAAAGTTTTGGGCTTGCTCCGCATGACCTCCTGCGATGAATTGGCGTTACATCGCATTGCATGATTGGCACTAAGTGGTGCGTGCGAGACTGATACATTGCGTGAAAACTATCCGAAGCGAGAAACACACCGCAAAGCTCTGCCTGCGTAAGCGCGAATTGTGTGCGGACTTCCATTATGACGCTATACAACTCAGTTACTGGTCTCGGCGCGGAAATGATTGTTCGCCAGAAGGTTTTAAATCAATCTACCAGTAGACGAATACACAAATTCGATGAACCTGCCGGGAGCGGCTCTTTGCATATTCGAGAAACTCGGACCGGATATTGTTTACCAAATGGTTACCGATTTTAGCAATCTCACTACTTATTGCAAACTGTTCGAGTTTTGTGCGTGCACTCTTTCTCAGCTCACAGTCCCACTGACGTATTCATTTGGTTCTCATTTGAACGTGCGTACTCATGCCATGAGGCTCTCAACAATATATACGCTAGATGCCGCCCCTGCAGTCCCCCACAAGGTCATGAGAATACGATGTTCCAGACATTCCAGATCTTTTCTGTTTGTTAAACGATCCAGGATATTGCGTCGCATCGAAGGCAGTGTGTATTGCCGAGGGCTGTTCTGTTGTAATTGGAACGCGGTGTTTACGTCTACAGGCGTGACCGAGAAGTGGGAAACAGTCAAGTGTAGGGCTTCCTTGCCAGCAGGGGCGTGGGAGAGAAGAGCCGAGAGAAAGTGCCTATAGATGGCACTAATGGGCCAAGCAACGAGTATTTTCTCTGTAAACTTGATGAAGTGGATCAGTTGACCCATTGGTCCCTTTTGGTCTGATGATGATGAAATGCGTTAGTCAATATGCCGATACCATGCGTACTCGATCATCGCGCACGCTTTAAAAAGATGCTTCTGCGTAATCTGACTACACCAATGATTTCTGGCAAGACAGGTAGCTACGTCACCGGCCGAGCAGCCGCCTCACATGACCAGGGGCACGGCTCCGATAATAGACGCACGTATGTCAGCAGGCCTGTGCAGTCTATGCTCCATACCGATGCAACATGCCAGATGTGACTTGCGCTTTCAGCTACCCCACTGCGAGAGTATAAGGGACCCCCGTAGGTGGGGAATTCCTGTGCGTAAGGGGAGTCTGGCTGGGTCGGGATACTTGCGCAATACCTTTGTAATGATGGTTATTTGACACACACTTGACGGCGGTTGTATGCAACATGTGTGTTTTTCTCTTACCTTTTCTTCACTTTGGTCACACGAATTAAGTTAGTCCAACGAATAATCTTGCCAGCTCCGGACATATCTTTGAAATAGACGGATGCTGGGTTAGACAGAGGCCATGTAGCTCCATCCCATGCGTTAACTGAAAGGCTTCTGGCGCCAAACTGCTTCCACTTTTCCTTCCAGCGCTGAAACCTCGCTGCTGAGGCGCCGAAGCCTGCGGGTGCGCGGGCGGGAGTGGGAACCGAGGTGACCGAGACCGCGTATGGTGCCGGTGCGGCTGGCCGCGCAAACGCGCCTGCTCGCGTAGGCTTGCAAGGGTGCATGGAGTCCTGTGCAAAGGTGATGGGAGAGTGGATGCTGACGGACACTGAGGAGCCTTCTATTTGTGCGAACGGGACAGCCCCCTACGTGTTTATGACCTGCCAAGTTGGATTCCGAGCCGCCAAAAAACTGACTAAAATGTGCTTAGCATGGCAGGGAGCTGTGTTTCGGAGAACGTGAATTTCCCCAACGAATTTAGAGAAATCAGCTCGCTCGCTATGCTCGCATTTATTGTGCTAGACGATAAATTTTGCCACACGATGCATTTTGTCCCACTCGCGGATCAGTGGGCTGGCTTAGGCTGTTCCGCGTCGTCACCAAGCATTGCGGAACAGACGACATCAAGTCCGCTGACCAGACGATAGCTGCTGCCGTCTGGCGTTGGAAGGTCGGACTAACAAGATAGCGTGCGGCTGCTGCTGAGCAGGCAGCCACTTGGCTCTTTTCCTGTTGATGGCTGACGCATTCGGACGACACCTTGTTATCTCAGCGTAGTTATGCTGACCCTTTAGACCCTGTTTTGCTGAGATGGCCTTCATTCATTCTGTCTGCTATGGCAACAAATTCATGTTCTGTTGGTGGTTACGAGGCAACGAAAAAAAGTGGATGCTGGATACCCGCGATCATGGAGATTGTTCAGCTGACTGCATGGTACGTCCCTTGGCACGCAACCTGTCCGGGCCGAAATAATAAGCACTCATCATCCAAGGGCTTGAGTGTTGTAATCTCGTCTAGTTGATCAGTTCGTTTATCGTTTGCAGCAAGCTCGGGACGACCGCAGCAGGGCACATCACGGGGACGTTAAGCTCGCCATTCGGAGCACAATTAATGTAGTTGTAATTAAACTGATGGTCTTATCTGGCGACGTGCACAGGAACCTGGTTCGTACCATAGAATGTCATGACATAACTGCTGATGTGATGTTCGTTTGAGACGGCTTTCTTCTCTGCAAAGTCACCTTAGTGCGCCTGTTCCCAATGTGGAATGACGCTCGCCCGCCCGACCACTCTTTCTCCCGACGGTTACTCCCGCCCAGATGTACCCGCGCGGCTGTCGAGAGCTTCTGCACAGCTGCGTCTCGTCACCCGCATTGGTCAGTCGCCTCCTCGTGCCGTCCACCGGGCGCCGGCACCGCGCCCCGCCCTGGGTCGCCTGCTAACGCCCCTCTCCCCTCACAGCCAGGCGGACGGCCTGGCGCCCACGTTCGCCAAGAAGCCGACCATCGAGCAGGCGCCCGACGGCAAGCGACTGACGTTCGCGTGCCGCGTGCTGGCCGACCCCCGGCCGACGCTCTCTTGGTTCCGGGATGGAGTACAGGTGCAGGACTCCGCCCGGCACAAGGTACGTACCGCCGTCTTACGCTGCCCGCCGGTGATGGCTTCCCAGCGGCCCACGTCCGCTGAGTTAGCGTCGCTCGGCCGTGCGTGACGTCATGGTTTGCTGGGAAGATGAAGCAGGCTGGATGGTTCTCCGTGATATCGTATTTTGCGATAGCTTTTGCAGCACAGTTCTCGCCTGCTCCAAATGTAGATATGTGGAGTGGAAATCATCGAGCAGGTGACTGTGGGAGGCCTTGTGCAGAGTGAGATCGGCGATGTGATTGAAGGTGTGAGCGCCATCACCACGCAGGCGATGCCTAAACGTAAGTGAATAGGGCCAATTGGTTTTGGAAAACCATATAAATGGGTCATATCAGTCCATTGTGCTGTCTGTCTTTCGTGACAGTTCAGCATCCAAGAACCATCATTAAGTGTCATGCGAGGTGGTTTTTAGTCTACTTCTGGCCAGGAAGCAGCGTCAACTCACTTCGTGCCCAGACCCATTTTGTGGAGAGGTGGAGGGGGAGGATAATGCATTGAAGCATGCATCGTGTTGATCATTCACATAATTGCTTTTTTCTATTGTTAAGATGACTCATTTTTTTCGAGTCTCCATAACCCAACTAGAGAAGTCAAACGATCCAAACTTGGGTCACGACCCAGAGACCGAATGCCGGATATTTACGCAAAGACAGCTATATAAAGAATAATGAAAAATAGTGGCATAAAGATGGTTACGTAAAGTTACGCAAATACTGTCTTTGCCATATAAGGCATTGGACGTTGTCTGCCTGTTGGCAGCAAACCAGTAAAGTGTCCGTGAATCAGGCCTGTGCCTGATTCATCAGTTTTTCTCTGAGATCGTGTTCCTGGTTCAGGCCAGCACTGAACCGAAGGATCCGACAACAACCAAGATAGAGCCTGGAATATTCACGTGGATCCAGCATGAGGCAGAGTCCATCAAAGAATCTGCCAGGAGATCCGGCAGGAACCAAAGCACAGCCTTTAAAAAATACAAATAAAGAAGGCTTTATTTATAAGAATATAAAAATAAAAAAGGAAAAAAAAGAAGCAAAATCTCGCCTGATAAATGCAAACGATCTAATATAAGAACTCAAGTCCAGTAAATAACGATATCAAGTAAGCTAGCAGGAACCGGGATTTCGTCTGCAACTTGTGTCATGAACCCATGCCCATCCTCACGACGCGCGTTAATAGATCATGCAGTTAGGTGCCTCTGGCAGGATATAACTGAAAATCGAGGACTTCTATCAATGGCTGGTAGCTTTGAAGATATTTGTCTCATATTCGGTAAATGAAACATTTATGTACAAATAACGCTGCCTCAAATTTGACAGTACGAAATCAATGAGATGATGAGGAATGGGTAACGTACAGAACCTTTTGGGGCTCCTCCTGCAGGTTCCTGACGTCCAACATGTTGACCTAAAACGAAAATGCAGCCCATAAATGCACTCCTGCACGATTTGGTTTGGACAATGCGTTGAAATGACGACGCTCGATAGAAACACGCCATTGCATGACATAGCCTCCCATCGCTACAAAACAGCGCCGAACGCCTCACGACGCTGGGCGCTGACGGCAGAAAATCAGACAGTTTGGGCTGAATTTCTTCAGATATCATTATTGTCCTATGACCTTATTTTTAAGTTTCACCATGAAAGCACCTTTTCGTATATCATGCGACACCTGAAGGCATTGGTTACACAATCGGAACCTGATGGTTTTGAATTCAGAAGGGACTTATGTTCAATGGACAATGACCGTTATGTGATAAGTAAACTTGGTGTTTGCGAATGGGCCAATACGGAAGCAGAATGTGATATTTGTGAGGGAGTAAATGGCAACTTAGAACCAGGCTCTGGTGTTTCTGAAAAATGGAAACCATGGTTTCATGTTTGTGAAAGAAACAATGAGAACCCGAATACAAGATCCGTTATTTGTTAAAGAATAATTGGAGTAAGGAATTGCTGGTATTTGGAAGGAGCCTGTGAAAATCAGAAACCCCGTTCTGGAATTGGTAAAACATTTATTTCAATCCAGAAGATACGGGGATGTTTAGGACAGAAATAGTGAAAACAAGAACCAGTGCCGCATTTTTAACAAGCGATCAGTGGGAACCAAAGCCAGTTATGTGAACCGGGCCTATGACCGGCAGTAAAACATCGAAGTCAAGCCGCTTGAGGCATACTTGCTACCACTTGGTGCTTAAATGTAGGGCATATGTTTTCGCCTGCCATTGAGGCCCTAAGTCATATTAGGTTCGAAATGATTGGCTATTGGAAGTCAGTTTCATGTGTGTTCACGTAGTTGGTCTCTCCAAGGAAGGTGTTATTTGCCGCACACAAAATGTATGCACGATAGCCATTTGCAACGGATCGCGAGCAAACACAACGGAATGACAAGGAGAGGTTTCTTACATTGGCTGGATCTATATGGTGCACCAAATTAAATCATTAAAAAGTGACCAACATCCTTCTGTGGAGTACGGTTAAAGATAACTTTTTTCACAGTTCCGTGTATTTCCTGAGTAACGCGGACAAAGCCGAGAAGAGCCTCAGCCTTCCCGATCAACAGAGTCGGGCAGAGATTCGGAAGTGTCAGAGTTTACGACTTTGCCTTTGTACGGCACAGTTGAAATCGCATTTTGCGGTGGAAGGAAAGATGATGTGTTTCACACATAACCGACGGGTCCACTGAGCTACACTTAACTGTCTTGTCTCGTCCCTTGTCCACAGATGAAGGTGGAGAAGGATGGAAAATCCTATTCCGCCACGTTGGAAATTCGTGACGCCACAGTCGATGATGCTGGCAAGTACAAGGTCATCGCCAAAAACGAACTCGGCGAGAGCAATGCGACAATTGGCCTTAACTTTAACAGTAAGTACGCGAGCGTGGGCACCCTGCTGCTGACGAATCGCATGGTTTCGTGCATGTCTTGATATGCGTGATGTGCATGAAACCTTTGGGGTTGGAACCGCGTGTTAATCAACGCATTTTGTCGCCTCCACCCTAATCGCGCGCGCGACTTCCCAAATGCACCAAAAGTGTGCCTCATCACTGCAAATACATATGGTTTTTTGCAGGCCCCGAGTAAGGTGGAGCGCTAGGAGTTGGTCCTGAACAATAACAACGCTACATCGTTTTGAGCCCCTGACACCGACCTGTCTACAAATTTATAATTTGTGACGTGTTGGGCGCACTATCGTTTATAAGCGGCGGCATAACACCTTTGCTCGGCATAAGGCATAACACCTTTGCTTAACACCTAACACCTAACACCTGGTGAGATCTTGCGTACGACCCTGTAGACGACAATGGCGTTTGTTGTTGCTGGGAAAGTTGTCACTGAATAATTATCAAAACTTGACCTGAAGCGACCTTGACCCTTATTGACCCCTACAAAAAATTCAAAAAGTTAAAAATGACATTTTTATCGCCATTCAACAGTTACCTGGGTTTGGCTCATGGTTTGGCTATGCTCGTGACGTCGGTTACTTTGGCAACATTCTCATCATTTTATCTCATCAATCTCGGCCTGGTAAGGCGTGGATAAAAGCTACGGACATCAGTCAATAACCACTTCACACAATGGGAACCACCAGATGAAAAGATCTGGCGTACACAGTACAAATCTATTGGGGGGGGGGGAGGGGGCACTCATTCCACTTTTTACGTGCGCACTGTCGACAGAGATATTATACATCACTGTTCTCGCGCAGTAAAAAACTCGATTTGTCAGATTTGGTTTGAAATTATGTCAAATTCAGGTAGTCCATTCCGTTGTGATCCGCTGAATGATTTGGTTAGTTCGGATAAAGCGAGTCTGAAAAACCTTGTCCATACTGACACTTAAGTTATTTTACCTGTGCATTATCATGAATAGGCGTATACGAGGGTGTAGCCAATGGAATGGAAAGTGGGCCATGCCACCTTCTGCTCTTGGGTCCCTCTGGCAGCAGCGACGATTCTATAGTTGCAACAATCTGGCCCCCTAAGACCCGTTGCTTTTGCGCAGCGGTCTCACACATTCCATTAAGATGCGCGACTCACATTTATATCGTCGCAGTCTTTCCCCTTAAATGGTCGGCCGCCCGATCTCATTCTAAATGTGACCGTGGAATGGCTTCATTGTGTGTATGATTTCTGTGGGTATGCCTCGTTGCCAGAACATTCCTTTGCATTCTGAATGCCCAATGGCTGTCGCGCACGTGCGGCTCGATGCGGCTGCACGTCGTCTTGCGCAGCGCGTGTCAAACTGGTGTTCATCCATCTTGTTCAAAGATTAACAAGTAGAACGCATGGACACCTGATACTGCAAGTCATCGAAAAGTTTTGAGGTTCCCTGAAAGGATTATTCAACGCATGTTCTGGAAATATGTAATGTGTGGTAGCGTGCCCGAATTTCTGGTTTTGCTCTGAAACCACTGTAGGTTTTTGACCCATATGTCATTCAGATTTCCCATCCAGACGCTCTCAAATATGAAACGTTTTGTCACGTAAACGTAGCCTGGTGTCGAGCCGACATCGCACTCTGATGCTGTCCATGCACATATAGGATCATGAGATGAAAGCCACTCGAAGTGAGAATCACAGCCTTAGAGCTGGCAGTCATGACTTATGCCCATGCTGGTGTGGCCCAAAACATGGGCATATTGTCTGGAAGCACAGAGTGCTCACATGCTTCACCTGCCAACATATGCGCAATGTACGTCACATCACCGCGTGCCAAGCATTCCAAGGAAGGCATGCTTGGCACGCGGCATGGTCACGCTGCCCGGAGACGTTTATGACCGGGGCCGAGCCCGGGCAGAGTCCTGGGAGGGCAAACACGACAAGAATCTAGGCGGCAGTCACAAGCATTTCAGCTTGGTTATGCAATGCGAGACCTAACATGGCCCATAGATATTGTTTTTGTTGCTACTTCAGTTCATTTCGATGCTATTTCCGGAAAAAAGCTACGACGATGTCGTATGCCGAGTGGGTTTTACTTGAACGGTAGGAACAATTTCAGCTGCAGTGAACCTCCCACGACCTGCCCGGTTGTTATTCCTGCTTAAAAACAGGATCCTTGAATAACTGGAATCTTTAATAAAAACTGGGACCCTTGGAACCAATGATCACATCTGTAAACAGAGTTTCTCAACAACTGTCATCCTTGAAAGTTGTTTACAAGGGTGAATTTGAAGACAATCGCACCCGACTGCAATTGGTCATGCGTGGTTTTCCTGCAGCATGATAGGGTGATCAAACTTAGCCTCGCCTGCCGACCGAGACAGAACCATTAAGTTTGACGGCTGCGAAGAAGCCGGACAGCATGTGTCGGGACCGGCCCAAACATCGCCGAGCCGGCGTCACGTTAATCTGGCACTGACACCGTGTGACGAGGCCCGGATATCGCCGACCCGACGTTGCAGTGACGTGAGACCGACCCCGTGTGATAAGGGGCGAAGTACCGTAATGGCGGTGGTCTGAGCCGACCTGCACAGCCAGTTATACGCGCTCAAGCACCAGTCAAGGATAGGCCTGTTACCCATGGTACCGTTTACAAGTCACCGAGCGATCCTGACGATACCCGAGCGAAATCAGCGCTAGTGATTGACCAAACAGCCAGTGCCGTCTTTTGGAAAACAGACATTAACTGCACTCTGCTGCAGCCTAAATTGAAATATACTGGTCCACGAAAGCTACATAAATATGTGTGCGTCAATTAAGTATACGTCAATTTAGTTACTAATATGTCAGTTTATTTAGCTAGTAATACGTCAATTTAGTTACTGATACGGCAGGCCAAACATACTGGCCGAGCCTGTTGATTTAGTCAAAATTGATGCATTGAGATGGCTTACCTTTTTGCCCTGTAAAGAAAGCTAGTACTAAAAAGGTTTGCGAACGTTGAGTAAGTGTACTTCTTACCCTTGAAAGATCGATATTGCAATACTTTGGAGATCTCTATTTGCGGATTTAGTAAAGTGCGTGCCTTTTTTAAGTTTTCATACCATCCACATGACTGCATCACCGCATTTGATCACTTCACTCCTTCCGCTCCCCACAGGCTATCTGACTGGCGGATGCCTGTTTGACATACATACACTCGCCTAACGCAGCTGTAAGCATAACATTGACAAGATGTTTCGTGCGCCTTCACTCATGCCTCAAATGAGAAAAATGTCTATTTGAGACGGCCTGCCTAGACCACATAAGATCTAACAGGCATTGCGTGCGCTGATTGTTCGAACGGAGCCCGGAACTTGAACTGCAGCAATAGTTGGGCCCTGAACTGGCGCGCTGGCTCACAACAGAGCTCAGAATTGCCAACCCAATCCTTCTTGGTGCGCTGTAGGTCAGTATGCCATAGTATCTGGACCTATTATATAGCCGCACGACACTAATTCACTAGAGAACTTTGAACTTGAATTCATGTACTTCGACACCTCAAAACTCAAGTTTGCTATTCAAACGGAAAATTAGTGCATGCATGGGTGTAATTTGGCAAAAGCAGCTCGCAAAAAGAAGCTTTTTATGGATGGTTAGAACTCCATAATATTAAACATTTGCTTTGACTTTCAGGAAAGCTAAATGCCATGTGCCATGCAGCTGTTGAAGCAGCTGCAAAAGTTTCTGTTGCATTCACATATTTTTCTGCCGGCGGTTTCCCTTTCACCAGGCTTGCGGGCAGTGCTACATTCGACACTGAGATCACACTATGTTGACTTTCAAAGCATTACTCGCATCAGCAGGAATGCTGCGATAGCGCCAGGCTTCTCTTGTGAGTCATTGAAAACCTATTAGATTTTGTCAGTTTATCAAGCACCTTCAAATAAGCATTCGAAGGCTTTTCAGTGGTATCAAACCGCTTCGCAAACATTTGCGTTGACCTGGATAGTTCAATATTGTGCTGACCAAGCGATAACTCCGCCAGCATGCTAGTTTATGAAACTATTCCTCCGGGGCTTACACTTAATCAGGCGGATAAGATCATTCAGTGTGCCTTTAGCCATGGCGTGTTATTCTTTGCACATGCCTCCAATAAACGTGCTGCATTTCTCAACAGCAACATCCTGAATGTGTTCAAACAAACACACGCCCCATGGAGTAGCTGGAAGGCGTGACTCAACCGTAAGCACGGGCCTTGTGTGGGGCCCCGGGAGCCGTCTGTGGAGCTAGAACACCCACCGCATGACCGATGTATCGACAGCGGCTGCCCCCTGCCTTTGGACTCTGCGGTGACTGCACAGACGGCGCGGCAGGGTGGGGCGGCGGGGCAGGATAGGGTGGAGGTTCGAAGTTTTGCTGGTATGGCGGCTTGTCCGGCGTGGGACGAGGGATCGGCAGCAGACGAGAATCACCATGCACGTCATATCTAGACATGAGCGGATGTAGTCCGTTGTTTTTGGGAGCCCATGAGGACAGGAGTTACCTGTCCATTGGAATGTCCTTCCATCGAGTTTGCAGGCGCTGGTGCAATGATGTTTAGCGTTCCTGCGTTCCTGCGTCCCGACTGTACCATATGAATGCTAAATAATACAATAAATGTAAATAATAAAAAATTAATGTAAAACCAGACCTCTCTGCCTGCCCTGCTGGCTGATATCTAATAAGAATATTAAAGAATTGCACAGTGTGGGCGGCTTTGTGCACGATTGTGCGTGCAAGTCTGCACAGATCGACATAAATTGTCCTGTAAAGTTGCACGTTTTCTCCTCTGTCAGTATGATTTTACCTCATGTCGCTGCGAAGTCTGGTCGCTGAGATCTCGACCTGTTTCCCACCCGTGTTCATCGGCTTTTCCGTAATTTGACAATCCTACGTTTCCCATGTCATTCGAAAGGGAGATTAAATTATGGTGATATTGCAGCATTGCGGAAGCACACTACTGGCTCCTGTTTTCATTTAAGTTCATTCTATCATATATATATATATATATATATATATATATATATATATATACATTCCAACAACGTGACCCCATTCGCACACTTTTGATCATGCATTCGCTCGTACACTTTTTCGTCAAAAATATAGACATGATTGTTTTAAAACACATCACGTAACACCAAGTGCACCGTCTAGTTCCTCAATAAGTGGTCTGTGGGTTTGACATGCAGTGCAGTGGTTCGAAAATCTGACAGCCCAAGGGCGCCCGCCGATTCCGCCCTGATGGCACACCGGCATACAGCGGTACGTGGGGTGGACAGTGGCTGCACCGCCACCGGAGGCCGAGACTCATATAAGACCCTGAACACAGCAAGGATGTCACTTCGGGTGACAAGATCCCTCACAGCACCCCAACTCAACGCTTGGAGAGTCGCCACCATGGAATCTCGCCGACCAGCCTCAGTGACGATCCTGGCTTTAACGCTGATCACCCCTTGCACACTGCTCAGGCGACACGCTGCAGCTCCAAGACCGAGAGACAGTACAAGGCGTGGGAATTGATAAAAAGGTTACGAACCGCGGGGGCAGTGTGGTAACAAAGCTGATGCAAACAAAAGGATGGGGCTGCACTTTTCGACACCATGGGATGCGTGCATCGTCTGAGATGGGGTACTGTCGATGGTCAAGTCGGATGTCGATAGTTGACGGATGGATAGGATTGGGTATCCCCAGCATCTTCATGGACGGCTAAGGTGTGGGCCTTGTGTTCTAACAGCTCGCTTTTAATGGCGTTGAAAAAATGTCAACACACTTTAAGATGATTGCGTTATTTCTTGCTGGAAGCCTCCCGACGTTCCGATCAGGGGTTGCTAAGATATAAGCTCAGCAAAAGCGGGGTTGGCCAAGGCGGGCAGGAACCACCAAGGCTTAAAAAAAACGAGTTAGTTGATGCTAAGACCCGCTCTTTCTACAGCCCATCTCGTAAAATAATGTTTTATCGTGTTTTTGCCTCGTTGTTTTGAGCGGGAAGTGCGTGTTATATACTACACGGCCGTAGCCATTTCTGGGCGATCGAAGAGACGTCAAGTCACATTTGACGCAGATAAGCCAGGCTCGATGTTTATCCTCCTGTCTGCGTCTGAATGCCTGGTGTAACTATGTAAAATAAGCAAAGCAGTTCAGGCTTTGCTCCGGTCACGCACCACTCCGTCGCCTGCTGCGCGTGTTTATTCCCCTTAGTAGCGTGTGTGTGCGTTGGAGAGGGGGAGAACTACACACAGTGTTGATAGCCGATAGCCTTTTAAACTGACACACGCCTCTAAGAGCCTGTCTCGACAGATGTTGCCCTGCGGTAACTTTTGTCGAAACTGGCCTTTCTAGTAGTGTAAGGTAGATATATGCTGGGATACTCACTGTGAGCGTCTAAGCCTCATCTCATGTGCCATACAAAGCAGAGGCAAATATCCCTTAGTTGCGTGGCTAATCATCATTTTACCTGTTATTCGAACAGACCTTTAATGTGTGCATTGGCTGTAACATAGTGTGAAGTGGCACTTCAACATTTTATGGCAAGTGATGAAGCTTAACACGCGCTCGGGTGGGAGTAAAATTGACCCTTCAAACGTTTTTCCAGAATGATTTCCGAACGGCGCGGCGTAGCTGGGCCTAATTTTTGCATAGCTATAGACAATTGAAGAACGGATCATTTAGTGTCAGCAATTTATACGTTATTTGGAAGGTCGCTGACTTATGACAAGCCAAAGCCAGGCCATGATTTCAGCGAAGTCAGTTTTTAGGGGATCGTTCAATCTTATGCAATAACGGAGTGTTAGACGAAGCCATACATTCCTGAAATGCTTTCTAAGGCGACTCAACAATTGAATAAGCAAATTAGATTGACCTAAGGTCAGGTATGAAGGTCAAACCAAGGCCAAAACCAATCCATTTTATCACCCTAGGGTATAGGGTATGTGATAGTTTCTGGTGCTCATTTCCAAGTTATTGATAGCAGAAACCGCATTTTACATCTTCCATGGACTTCTTAGAGGTTATACTAGGTCATGGACCTAAAATGACCCAGGTCAACATTTTTTAAGAACATACTGCCTAGCGCAATATTTTTCATTTATTCAAATGCGAAACTCAGAGCAGTCCTGTATGATTTTGGTCACCATGCCCCACTAAAAGTCAAACAAGGTAACTGACCTTAAATGAACATGTGACCGCTGTTATCTAAGTTCTGGGGGCACTTTGGAGACCAGCCTGGAAGTTGATATCGACTGACCTTATTTGACCCAAAGGTCATGTGCTAGGAACCTGAAACCTTGACTTAAGTGAGTTCACGTACAGGTCAATACACCCTGTAAATTTGGTGCCGGGTGGGGGTCAAATTGACCTCCACCCGAGTGAATGGTATCCAGCCGGCCAGCCGGACACGTGTTAAATCTGCCATGAACTTGTTCATAGCGAAGTTTTAGCAGTTATTGAGAGTGTACAAACCTTCTCGTTTTAAAGGACGTAGGCTTATCTCTACAGCGTTTTACCAAGTTTTCTGATGACAAGCACACAGCCTGGGCAGCCTTTCACTAGGCGACACTGTTCTTGTGCTAATAAATTACCTTACTTTTTATACGCCCCTTTATTGGCGTGGAAATGCGCGCTTTTCCCAAGGCATCTGTAGTTCACCGTGTAGTTATGTACCACAGAATCTGTAGTACATAACTACACATCGGCCATCTGATGGCCGATGTCCCGGAGCGGTGGATGAGAGTCGCATGGATGTTTCACGTGCAGCATATCTAAGTGTCGTACGCCACGTTCACTGTTTGTTGTACGTCCATTCACTGTACGTGATGCATGTGGCGAACAACGCAGAGCTCCGCCTTCTGATGTCATACGCATGTGTGCTACAGCTGCTTTGGTCACCGCTTTAAAGACACGCTGCAAGTAGCAAGCCACGCTGCGGGCGTGTGTCCGCCGACCCGAAGAATACCGGCGGGGTGTCAGTGAGCGTCACATGTGAACAAGGCGCGAACTCGGTGGTGGCTTCCTGAGACGGCCGCCATGATGACCTCTGTGCTGGAGGTCCCTGTTCAGCTTTCAGACGCTGATGTTGCTCTAACTGGGCCTTCGTGCCACCGTTTCTGATAATGATCAGGGCGTGACACCTGCTATTTCCGTGCATCATTGACGTGCCGCTGCCGACTCTACGATGCAACTAGCTGTTGAGGCTTTGCGGCATCGCTGGCCTCTCAACCTGACAGGAACGGAAGCCACCGCGGGGAATCGAACTCAGTGTCTCTGATTTCTCCGACGCAGATCTGAACTATCGCCGTCACACTGATGACGTGTGCGGTAGCGTGCACTGACAACGTTTGATGATGTCTGCTACTCACGTCTGCTAGTGACACCTGCCGGATGTGTTCACTGATAGTGCACTACGATAGTGTGCTCTGGTGAGATGTGCGAATACCGCATTGAGTTTTTGATGATACCTGGTGATGATGCTTGGGCTTGCTGCTGATATCCAACGATGACCCCTGCTGATGGCCCCTCTGAGGACGCTCTCTAACAGCGACCGTGGGGTTCGACTTATCACACGGTCCGCGTCAATGGCGGATGGCGTCTGTGGCGTCAATGATGGCGTCAATCTGATGGCGTCTGATGGCGTCAATGGCGTCTCCGGTGACGATCCTCGGGCCGTCTGGACGCCGCCAGCACCGCCTGCCGACGCTGACGTCACTCCCAGCTGAGGATGACGCATCTCCGGTGACGCTCCTCGGGCCGTCTGGACGCCCCTAGCGCCGCCGCTGACGCTGACTCCCTCCCCTTCCCCAGCCGAGGAGCCGCCAGCGCAGCAAGAGAATGTGGGGCGGCCCTCCTTCACGGAGAAGCCGGTCATCCGGCAGGCGGCGGACGGCTCGTCCGTGACGTTCGAGTGTCGGCTGACTGCTGACCCGCAGCCCTCGATGCAGTGGTGAGTGCGACGCCGGCGGCGGCGCTGACCAGGGTGGGCGGTGGCGCTGCCGCTCGCTCCGATGGCAGAGCGGCGCCGGCGGCGGCGCTGGTCAGGGCGTGCGGCGGCGCTGCCGCTCGCTCCGATGGCATGGCGACGATGGCGGTGGCGCTGTCGCTCGCCCCGATGGCAGAGCGACAATGGCGGTGGCGCTGTCGCTCGCTCTGATGGCAGAGCGACGATGGCGGTGGCGCTGTCGCTCGCTCCGATGGCAGAGCGACGATGGCGGTGGCGCCGTCTCTCGCTCTGATGGCAGAGCGATGGACGCGTCGACGGCGGTGGCCGGTGCAGTGACGGGGGACGGGTGTCGTCCTTTCAGCGCCGCCGTAGTGGGAAGGGGCAGGGACACTGATCAGGGGACTGTTCGGGGAATAGGTGCACTGTTTGCAATGTCCGTTATGGCGGTGAGAGGCAGGGGTGGTAAAAATGTATTGTCTGTCGCCGGCCGCATTTCTGCGACCAAAATTGTCGCCAGCAGCTTCAAGCGGCACTATACGACAAGAAATGGCAATGGCGTCCATGCCAGCGGCGTAAACAGAAATCGGCGTATCACCGACAGCCTCTTTTGTCGTCGCAGCTTGTAATATCATGCACATAACCGAAACGTTCATTTATACGATAGTATACAACTAATGCCAGGATATTTGTTGCTGCGAAGAGTGCATGCACACCGGCCCTACACCATAGGATAGTCCAATCGCAAAAGCATGTTATACGTCGGTTACCCAAACTGCTGCACTTGTCTGGTGTGGGTATCAATACGCCAATACCTTTCAGGTATCACAAATCCACATTGATTAAAGAAAGCAGTAGACACAAAATGAGCATCACTACGGAGAGCAAGCTGAAGTACAAGGCATCGTTGCAAATCTTCGGCATCCAGGCGTCCGACGGAGGGGAATACAAGGCTGTTGCCAAGAATAAGAACGGAGAGGGCTCGGCGAGCATCAATCTCAACATCGCTGGAGACGAGGAGGAAGCCAAGTAAGACATCCGGCTTGCAGCTGTGCTTGTTGGCTAGCTGGAAAGATGCATACATGCACATCTGCCACGAGATCAGCAGGAAGTTGGCAGCCGTTCATCACGGGCTGTCCGGTGGGACGGATTAAATTAGATTTCATTTATCACGGACCAATCAATTGAATTATAAGTTGATTAGAGAAAAACTTCAACCATTCCAAAGTTTTGTATTTCAGAACCTAATCCTGGTTCTTGCAAACTTCCCCAATATCACAACCCTAAACGTATGCCTTTAGCTCCGTTATGCGTTGTGAAGTTGCAAATGTAGCACACTATTGCGACTCAAGGCTGCAAGGCGAGGAAAAACATTGCAAGTGGCAGAACTGTTGCTTGCACGTTTTCTTCAGCATTCGCTGGGTCTCTGCAAGGCCTGATTTATTTGTCAATTGATCTGTCAGTATATCCCGCCCTGGACTCTGCGATGTTAGAATTAGTTTTGGGATTTGCCGATTGCTATTATTATTATCATTACTTACTATTATCGTTATGTCTGGTTGTGTCAGACACAGATGAATGTTTATATACACACACGCACACACACACACACACACACATATATATATATATATATATATATATATATATATATATATATATATATATATATATTGTGTGTGTGTGTGTGTGTGTGTAGATATATTCGAACCTGGGCAAACCTTTTTACCATGCTAGCGTATTATGGACACGAACACGAGCAGAGGTGTTGGTGCCCTGTGCAGTGCTGACAGTCGGTAACAGCCTTCGTTTCGCCGCCCGGCAGAGAGCCCAGCGGCGGTGCTCCGCGCTTCCCGAAGAAGCCAACTATCCGGCAGGAGGGCGACGATCTGGTGATGGCCTGCGTGATGGAGGCCAACCCCATGCCCGTCATTACGTGGTACCACGGCACCAAGGTTGTCACGGCCTCCTCCCGCCTTCGGATAGCTAGCAAGGTCAGCCACCTGGGTCGGGTGAATCGAGCGGGGTTCAGCACGACAAAGTGCGGATGGATCACGCTGTTCGAAGCCGTCCTTCGGGCCGGCGCAGTGTGCGGAAGTGAAGTGAGGGAATGTTGGCTTGAATGGTGGGATGGTCGGCGGGAAGCGGTGTCGAGGGATCACTGGTGTAGGGACATGGTCAGCAGACTATCTCCGGGCACTGACGCATCATCTGGGTGTGTTGCAGATGTGTGCGTTAACTTGTATCACCTTTGGAAATTGGTGTGTGTTAACTTGCATCACGATTGGAAAGGAAGCTTTAGAGTACTGGATATATGGCCAGCTTGATCAAAACCAGCTCCTCTTCATGTCAGCCACACTGTTGCACGGTTTCACATCCCTAGAACCAATGATCCTTCAATGACTACTTCTGTGGGAACTCAGGTCGCAGCGCTGCCAAAGGACACTCCGTGTTTGTACTGCTTAGCTTAAATGCAGGGCGATCGGACTTATTTGCATACCCAATGCACCTCCGGGTCGTGCAAACTTTCAGAAGCTCGGATCCAAAGAAAAGCCCGGGGGCTTAAAAAGAATCGGCTCCTTGAAGGTGGTAGTCTCTCAGGAGTTAGAACTACGAGCTTTCTGTCTGCGGTGTGGTGTGCCTGCGGTCGGTTCCAGCAGGTTGGAACGCACTTTTCGGCTGTTTCAGGAGACTAGCAAGGATACGTATTTGCTCACTTTGACTGTGTCTTCACCGACCCAAGAGGACGGTGGCAATTATCGTTGTAACGCCCGCAATAAGATTGGGGAGAGCAACGCCAACATAGCGCTCAACTTCCAAGGTGAGTCAGAAAACTGACCGATTGCCCACCAATGCTGGGCCATCACTTAAAAATGGCAGTTTTGCCTTTCACGGCTTGTCACCATGAGAGACAGATATCTTTAACATTGGGAGCCGAGAGCATACAAAGGGAGGTTAAGGAGGTCATCGTGTGTGAGGTCATTTTGGAATGCATTAGCAGCGCGATGAATAACCTCTCGATGATCTACCCAAGCGTCGCTTGCGTGTGCCATCAAGGGCTGCGCCCATTGGGGTGAGTGCATATTGCTGGTACGTTTCCTTCTTCCTGGGGCCCTGTGTGTCCGCACGCATTTCGATGCAGTTGCGTCCGTTGTGACTGGCGTGGCCAGCGTATGGTGACGGTGGCTGCCGCCTCCCGCAGCTAGCGAGGAGCCTGACAAGGCCCCGGCGGGCAAGGCCCCGTCTTTCACCGACAAACCGAAGATCACATCGAACGAATCGGGTTCGCTCATCACGATGAAGTGTCGCGTGCGCTCCTCTTCGAAGCTCGACATCACCTGGCACAAGGCCACCGAGGTGGTGCGCGCCTCTTCCCGCATTAGCATGCGCACGACGCCACTCAAGGACGGCGAGTACGAGGTCGTGCTGGAGCTGAAGGTGGGTGCCCGCTCTGAGATCGCCGAGCTTGGCTACTGGTGTGAAGGGCAGGTTTTGAGCCGGGGAAGGTGACTACCATGCCTGAGTGTTGTGATCGTTGCGCGTTTGCCGAGATATGGCGTGTTGTACGGTGGTTTAGTAATCAATGGCTATTTTTATAGAACCAGCTTCTTAACAATAAAGCAACTTTTTATGTCTGATGTCGATGTACACGTTGATCGTCTTAACTGCGTCCTACACAAATTGTATTGTACGTTACTCACAGTTTTGATGTACACGCCTACAGGTGGATGATACAGACATGTGATATGAACGAACATGCACAATTTTTGTTGCATCCGAGAGTAGGATCGAGCCTGCTTTAAACGCATAGATGTGCGTGAAGTCTGTACAATGCATGCATACCGACCGTCCTGGCGCGGGTGATCCGTGCACGTGTCCAGGCGCCCGGGTGCTGTGTCGTGCCGTACCCCTGTGACGCCGCCGTGGTCGGCCAGGACCCGACGGCGGCCGACGGCGGCAAGTACCGCTGCACGGCCAAGAACGAATTCGGCGAGAGCCACGCCAACCTAGCGCTCAACATCGAGCCAGAGCCAGAGCCGCCGGCGCCGCCCGCCAAGCCGCCGGTGTTCGTCGGCCCGCCGGCCATCCGCTCCGAGCCGCCGCGGGCCGTGGTGATGGAGGTCCGCGTGCGCTCCGAGCGCACCGTCACCGCCTCCTGGTGGCACGGCCAGCGCGCCGTGCGCCACTCCAACCGCACGCAGATCACACAGCAGGAGAAGGCCAGCATCTTCACGCTGAACCTGCGGATACCGGTACGGCCGGGCGGCGCCGGCGCCGCCTGCTGATCATCTGCCTGCTTCGCGCTCCGCTTCTGCGGGGAGGCACCGGCACTGCTGCGGGGTGACGTCGGTGCGGCGCGCTGGTCATGCTTGGACGCGGCGCGGGCTTGCGCTGGAGACAGCGGAGGCGCCTCCACCGCGCAATCTGTGATGTCGCGCTGTGATGATATTGATGATTCACATGTCTGAACGAAGATTGCAGCTTTGAGCAAATCTGGCTTGGCATGTTGGCGCTCCGCTGTTAACCCTTAAATAAGAGCCTCAACTTAGTCCAGTACTGATTCATGATAACATTTGATTCAATCGTGATGCTGCAAACCTTCCATTCTAATTTGTCCATCACCTCCGACCCATTCAGAGGAAACTGTGTACAGGTCACTTAGCTAAACGGCGTTGTATCAGCGGTGACACTTTCATTCCCGATGAGTACCAACAAATGTGTTCATTATCACGGTAGTACACAAACAAGTGGCCCCAGTTTATCAATTATGAAGCCTCATACCTAAACATGAAACCTCATATCATAGACGAATGTCTATAATGATGCATTCTCATTAAAACAATTATTTGCACAATGTGGGTGTTATACATGAATTAAGCTGCCTTGTTACGACTGGTGATATTCCACTCCGCTGCAGAGAATGCACACATTTTACGAAAAAAGGACAGTCACTCGTGGGTTTTTAAGCGTCCCCAAGATGGCAGCTTGCACCCTTATTGAAAAGTAGAGGAGCTACCCAAAATCGCTGTAAGTTCCTTGCAGCTGCTATTTTTTAACAGATAACAGGACGCTTCATTAAGATACCGGTGATCGAAAAAAATTAACTAAAACAAAGTATGCGAAGAAGTGTCGGTGTGCTTACTGGCCGCGAGTGACACCATCTTCAGACCAAATGAAAGAGTGTAAGCACGTGATCATCAGGTTCCATGCTCGCTGCGATGCCACAACGCAGGCTGAGCAGCCTTGACTGTGTGCTAGTGAAGCCATCCGCATCGTTCGGGAGTAACCGTGTACTTCTTCGCTGCAGGAGCCGCGGCCGGAGGATGCCGGGCTGTATAAGTGCAGCGTCAAGAATGAGGCCGGCGAGATAAACGCTAATCTGACGCTCAACATTGAAGGTCAGTGTGCCTCTGCGTCGTACTGAGCTGGCTGCTACTGTGCCTTTGATAAATGCTTCGGGACCGGTGACAAAACGTTTGTTTGTGATTGTTGGTATGTACGTGACGTTCGTGTGTGTGTGTGTGTGTGTGTGGTGTGTGTGTGTGTGTGTGTGTGTGTGTGTGTGTGTGTGTGTGTGTGTGTGTGTGTGTGTGTGTGTGTGTGTGTGTGTGTGTGTGTGTATGTGTGTGTGTGCGTGCGTGTGTGGTGTGTGTGTGTGTGTGTGTGTGTCTCGGCGGAGTATCGTGACTGAACGTGAGTGTTAACATTCTGTGTTCTTGGTTTTAGTGTTGCACAGCGTTACGTCGACATATTCGCGAGTTTGCGATGCATTACATTTTTGAGCATCAGCCATTCACCGAAGAGGTGGAGAGGAGGCACAATTGTGGCAGTTTCAATTCGTGGCTCTCTTACAATCGTGCCAGGGGTAATAATATTCGGGCCATTTACAATTCCCGACAACACCAGAATAACGGCTTGTAAAACTCTGCCGCCAGTGCACGGGTTTGAGCATTTCTTAACGTCGTGCTTACTACGATAGCGGTGCCGGAAATAGCTCCTGCCCCCTGCCACAGTGGGGCCGGAGGTAAAACCGGCCCCTTCCGACATTGTTGCCGGGATTACACCTGTTTCCTTCGACGCGGACGCCGGAAATAACACCTATGCTCCTCCGACAGTGGTGGCAGAGATAAAACATGTGCCCTCCGACATTGGGCCGGACATAACACCTGTCACCCCGGCAGTGCTCCTGGAGTTGACAGCTGTCTCTCCCGACAGTGGTGCCGGAGATAACACCTGTCCCTGCCGACAGTGGTGCCGGAGATAACACCTGTCTCTGCCGACAGTGGTGCCGGAGATAACACCTGTCTCTGCCGACAGTGGTGCCGGAGATGCGTCAGCAGCCACGGGTGATCGTGATCCGGGAGCGTCGTGTCGTCATCATCGAGTCGCGCATCACCTGCGTGAACCGGCCGAACGTGCAGTGGCTGCACCAAATGCGGCAGGTCACCGGCGACTCCCGGCGCTCGGTCATTGTCGAGCAGGTCTCCCAGGTCTGTCCCGGCGGACGTCTCAGTGGCACGCTCATGGTCGGCATGTTCCCGGCGCCACGGGTCGGTGGACGCACCTGTGCCAGGCGGGAAGTCAGTCAATAAGTCTTGTTACCAATTGCATGACATCCTGATGTCTTGCTGAATGAAAGCAGTCCGCCTGGACCACCCGAGCCTACATCCTTCCCCATCTCAGCCACCTGAGCCCGTTCCTTATCCCTCCTGGCCGCCTGAGCCTACCACCTTCCCCACATTAGCCATCTGAGCCTGCCTCCTTATCTCCCTGGCCATCTGAGCCGAACTCCTTCCCCATCTCAGCCACCCGGACACCTCGCATATTTTATCCATGCACACTCCAGTCCTCTGACGGAGCCTCGGTGTTGCCACAGGGCGAGTATGCGGTCAAACTGGAGATCAACGGTGCCTCGGCGGCTGACCGCGGCGAGTACCAGCTGGTGGCTCGCAACGAGAAGGGCGAGGTCAAGTCGCAGCCGGTCACTGTCTCTGAGGTCTTCGAGGAGGAGAAGCCCAAGCCAAAAGGCGAGCGACCCCAGTTCGCCGCCCAGCTAAAGCCGGTGACGGTCGAGGAGGGCCAGTCGGCGGACTTCGCGTGCAAGCTCGCCAAGCTGGACATGTCTACGGAGATCATCTGGTACAGGTGAGTCGCAACCTGCGTCGGAGGAGGCCGCCGACCTGTCAAGTGTGGTTGCATGGTTTCGGACGGAGGTATCTGACGTAGAGTCAAGTCAGCTGGCGGTCCAACGTGCTGGTCGATACCTTGGGTGGGTCAAGTTTCGTATAGATGCTGTAGAAGGAAGCCGTGATTTGCGCCGATCTGTCTGTCCCAATTGGTTAACAGATATTTTCAGCGCACTTAAGAAAGCACACCAAACCGCACGAAGCTAATACGATTTGTTCCTGGCCTCCAGGAACGGCATCATCCTGCGAGAGACGCCAGATGTGTTCATGAGCTTCGACGGCCAGAACGTGCGCATGTCGCTGTCGTCGGTCAAGAAGCAGTCGTCGGGCCTGTATAAGGTGGTCGCCCGGAGCGAGTTCGGGGCCTCCGAGTCTTCCTGCCAGCTGACCGTCAACGGTAAATTGATTATAAATTATTGGCCGGGGTCTGTCATTTCAGGGCATTGAAGGGAGGATTATCAGATCATTTTTCCATGTGAAAATTAGCCATCTCAAAACACTCCTCAAAGCATGCATGTGCGGAAGTGGCTGCGAAAGGAGTCCTTGCATTAATGTTTCGCTTCCTTTTCAGAGAAAAAGCCCGTCGAGAAATTGGTGAGTCATAGTTGTGTGATATGCAACACATTATACACAGCTGACTAAGTACCATAACTTACAGTATTTCGCATAAGCAGCTGATTTTTTTTTTTGGGGGGGGGGGGTACTGAACAAGTGATGAACGCCTGGGGGACGGTTTCGATTTCCGGTTCTGACATGCCCCAGCTGCTGACATGGCTTATAAAGCTGCGTGCGCCCCATGCAAGGTTGCGCCACGACATGTGTCGTGCGCTTTTTTAAAATAAAGTTATATTCATCTATTTCATCCTTGTGATGAACGCTCCATCGATTGCTCTCACAGGCCCATTCAGTCTGTAATGCCAGCTGGTGTGGATGACGCACATTATTGGACATGGTATTTCAGGAACTGGATGAGGAGAAATTGAAGCCCAAAAAGAAGGCGAAGGAAGAGGCAGAAGAGGTATGTTTCATTTGGGATGTTACTCCTAACTGCGGCCTGAGAGAAGCTGAGTTAGCAATGTCAGCATTAAACGCAGGAGACTGGGGTTACTAAGATCCCAGCAGGATGTGGAGAGCGTTGCTCGTCTAAAATGCATGCATATGTCATCGGATGGCATGAATATGAATGCATACAGGTAAAAATAAACTTGCGTACGCTCGGATGTTCACTCATAATCGTGCATGTTAAGTTCGTAACAATCTCCATGCTCGCTCGCACCCGTCGTTGGGGGTACGTGCTGGCTGTTATTATGGTGCAATCATTGCCGTTGGGGTAGGCTTCCCACCAATCCATCACATCATTAAAAAATGAATATTTACGGCTTGAAAATGTGATGCACGTCAAAAAAAACGTATCCGTTGTTTGATCTGCCGTGGTTAATGTTTTTTCAAGAAACTCACAAAACAAAAGCCGGAGGACATCAAACCGAAAGAGGAACCGGACCAAAATGATGTTGGCAAGCCGGCTGAAAAGAAGCCAGAAGCTCGTAAACCTGAGGAGAAAAGGCTGGGACGTGGTAAACGGGAGGAAACAAAGCCGGAAGAGAGGCAGCCTGAGGACAAAAAACCAGAGCCTCGCAAACCTGAGGAAAAAAAGGCAGAGCTTCCGAAGCCTGAGGAGAAAAAGGCAGAGCCTCGCAAGCCTGAGGAGAAAAAGGCAGAGCCTCGCAAGCCTGAGGAGAAAAAGGCGGAGCTTCCGAAGCCTGAGGAGAAAAAGGTAGAGCCTCGCAAGCCTGAGGAGAAAAAACCCGAGTCCACCAGACCTTGGGCGAAAAAGCCTGAATCTACGGCTGAAGAAAAGAGAACGACACCTGGTAAACAAGAAGAGAAAACGCCAGAGCAAAAGCTCCTGGGAAAGAAAACAGACCAAAAGGACGTCCCCAAGACAAAAGAGCCGTCCAAACCGAAGGACGAAGTCAAGACACCCAGCGGCAAGCAAGAACCGGTGCCGACTAAGCCGACTGCCGACTCTGTGGATGGTCTTAAGGGCCCGAAACCGCGCGGTCCCATGAGCCCAGCGCCGGGGCCGGAGGGAGATGAGGCGCCCCCGGCCACCACGCCCACCACCGACCGGCGATCGGTGAGAGCAGGACAGTGTTCCGTCTGCCGAGGCGACAGCGACGGGCCGCGGGGCCGCGCCGTCTACAGCGCACTCTCGATCACACGCTCTAACCGCCCGCCGCCGGGCAGCTGTGCGCAGAGGCTAACGACACGGCTGGCTGGCGCTCTGTGTCTGTGATGTGCGAAGACGTGGCGTGGCGCGAGCCGTAACGGCCGTCTGACACAGTCACCGCGCTGGTCCGGCTGCCTGGCAGCCCGGACAGCCCGGCGCCACCTCCGGCTGTACATACATGCGCTGTGTGGCGTACGTTTTATGAGTACATTTAAACAGTTGATTTTAGGAGAAGCGATAAATTGTTCCTAACGAACTAAAATGCCCTTTTTGTTATTTTGTCGATCGCTTGCATAATATGCACATTTGCCTGCTTGTCACTAAGATGTAGGCTTGTGTTGTCTGAGTAATTTGGAATACGTTACACTTGTGATGATTCATACAACCGTTAACAGCTTAATCAGCTCCGTTCCAGAAACTTTGTCAGTATTAGTTGTTTATCAGCAAGAACTTGATAATCTAGCAAACTGTATAGGGATAATGCAATGCATTTGGCGGGAAGCTGATTGAACACCATAAAGTCTCTGAAGCTCATTAAAGAACAACCCATTGAACTAAGAAATCAGCATGAATATATCGACCCATAAGTTTTTACAGGCACTAGATGCTTTTACCTGTTTCCAGTATCCCCCATTTTGGCCCATTTTGGAATAATGCCTGTCACCCGATTCATGGTTTGCCTAATGTCGAGGTCATTGTTAGTGTTAGTCAGCGCCCTCCCTGACCGACCGTCTCCTGCATGCAGCCTGCCCAGAAGTTGGAAGTGAAATCTCCACCCAGGCGGAGTTCTCAAGACAAGTCGGACCATTCTGGAAAAGATAAGGTACGGTTGGCGCTTCTTACATCAATCGGACGCCGTATCACGTTAGCGGCGGTCTCGATGGCAGTTTTGATGGCATTGACAAACAAAGCACGCTTAATCCATCGCAGTCAAATCGTATCGCTATTGTGCTGTTCCAGTAGCCCAGCCTGAGGGCGGTAAATACGCTTCGTCTAGAGAATGAAATCCATAGAAGTTCCTCAGTCAAAAAATGCATTATTCAATATAAACAATCGATCGAGATAATTTTTGTTCGCAACTCAGGCAAGAGTGCGCTAAAATCGCCGTCCCTTTTGACTCCTCTTAGCAGCGACGAACCTATATACCGCATAAAGCTGGATGCCTTATTGTACTTGGTATGGTGCTGTTGCGCTGGCCGGTAGACGTTTCTCTCACCTTCGCCGTACAAGGCGGCCTCACTGGGCTTCTGTCATCTCAGGATCTAAGCGTGGTAGAGCCAAAAGGAAAACGACAACAAATATTTCGCGTAAATTGCATCCGATTAGAGACAATGATTATCGGCATCAGCGACCTTTGATGGGCCATACCACGTTAATGTAGTATATTAGTGCTAACGTATGTCACGATAGTGTGATACATATTAAATAATGCTCATTTCCTTTCATCAAAACGGTGAAAGTCATGGCACCGCAAAGACAGCAATGTTTAGCTTTCACCAGAGCGAATCACACACGACTAATAACCCATCAATGAATGTCACCTGTGACACGTCAAAGCAAGTTATATCATTGTAGCCTTTTGTGCATGGATCCCACGCGGCTGTCTCAAGCACAAATTGTGTTACGGCAGTAAAACGGGCCACGTTGAATAATGCTTGTCAAACGGTATCAAAACTTTTCGTCAAACTGCAGCAAATTCTGCTCTCGTGACTTGAGATACAAACTAGCTTACAAATAGCGAAAAATTAATCCCCTGACATTTCTTGGTTTGGCGCACTTCACCTTGAATTACCTGAACTAAATGCATTTTGTATGATCACACTATAATTAAGCATAATAAGATCCTTTAAATTATTGTGGCAAATCCATTTCGAGTACGGCAAATGCACGTTACCTGCGTCTGCCCGCAAAATATGACTGGCATGGCCTCGACAAAGCCGCTATCACTCATGACCTATAGTTGGTGCAATCTTTACAATTTCACAAGAGTTACAAAATGGCTAAATGCCCAGGTCCAAAGATTTCAGCATCTTACGTTTCGTGCGTCTACTTGTTGTGTAGAATCATTAGTCTGCCACTGGTTTCCCTCGTCCGGAGAGGGCTCTGTGCAACAATCTTCCTGGTTGGGCCGACCCAGCTGATTGGGAACATAATAATATCCTGCGCCTCCCTGAGGAAAAGGGTTTGAAACAAACGACCTTAAGTCATGGTCTGCATCAGGTCCGCTATCGGTCCAGAGATGATCTTAAGTATTAAGAGGCGCCTCAGGTGAAAGGTTACTTTGTAAATGGACATCTACACGTTCACGTTCAATGCAACTTGTTTGCCAGAGAGGCCAGCTCTGCACCGATTTCAGGCCCATGTATGCGTAGCCACTGTCATGAAACACCACCAAAGTCCGAGCTGGTGTAGCAACTGTCTTGAAAAAGCACCACTGCTCTCAAATTTGCAGCATGCATACAGTGTAGATAAAATTGGGTAGCCAAGCCTTTCCAGCACCACAATAAGCAAAAATCACATCGATGAATAATGCACCCCCCCCCCCCCACCCCCCAAAAAAGAATGCTCCAATGATATTCCAAACCTTGTTTGCGTCATTTCCTTAGAGCGTGTGCTGTAGCCTGCGGGTTAGTCAAAAGCCTGACACAATGTTCAATAGGAATATCGATGTTCTCCCTTGTGCCGTTGCTCTGCTTAGGTGTCCTGCTCATAGTGATGTTAACGCCTGATTTACATCTGATTTGCAATGTGATTTGCCTGTGTGAAGCCAATCTCCCGCTTGTCATATTTTGGGCTTATTCGGCATTCCTAAACGCGCGCCCGGTTTCCCTGCTTGGTCGTTTTTACCTGCCAACCTGACATACGTTTGATGGTCTACCTTTTTGCTAGAAACCCAGTGTCACGCCCAAAATTGAGGAGCCTGAAGATGTTGACACTGAAGACGAAGTATCAGAAATACCCCTCTCCAAGGTATATCAATCCACAGCGCGCGTGTCCGGCACATGTGCCTCGAGGGAGTGTGACGCCTGCTGTCATTACAACTGCGTCCCCATAAGCCTCCGCTGCGCATACAGACGTGCAGACGTCGCCCACTGATTCTGCCCCAGCTCTTCTCCCCCTGTCTCTGTCGCTTTCTTTCTTTCTTTCTTTCTTTTTTCTCCCTTTCTCTCCCTCACTTTTTGTCCGCGCTCTCACACCCTGCCCCTCAGTGTCGCATGCCTGTGTCTGTGTCAGCCACATCGGCGGTTGACGCGCTCGCCAGCTCGCAGTGACCCAGCTCGCCCCAGCTCACACTTTCTCCGGGCACGCTCGCTTTGTGTAGACGAGTGAGCCGCTGGTGGTAGTGCGCCGGCGCTCGGTGCTCCCGCCTGCTCTGACGCGCCGTCCGTGTGCTCGGCCAGTCGCTTGCGGCGGCCGCGGCCGCGAGGGCTTCGCTGAAGAACGGTGCCGCCGCCCCCGCCGCCCTGCCGCCGCCCGAGCTCGAGGCGAGGCGCCGGCCGCGCACGTCCGCCGCCGGCCGAGAGACGCGAACCGCGCGAGACCGGCGCTCGCCCGCGGACGCGCGAGACGGCCGCGAGCCGGCCGCGTACAAGGCCGGCGCGATGCCGTGGCGGCGGCGGGGCCGGGCCGCGTGTGAGAACGTCAGTCCGGAGCGGCTGCTGGGCGGGGCGCCGCCGGCCGGCGACGAGCCCGCACTGCTGAACGGCCGCGGCGCCAAGAGGCCCCCGCCCAGACAGGTACACCAGCGCGTCACCCCCCGCAACTGAGCTGCTGCGCGCGCGCGCGCTCCGTCGCCGCCGCCGCCCGCCGCCGGGCCGCCGCGAGCTCCGGCCGAGCCGGCCGCCGCCTCGCCTCGCCTGTGCTGTGTGTCCTCTCTGTCTTCTCGTGCGACTTTCCTGTGCGTCTCTTCAGGTGTGTCTGTGTCCTGGCGTGCCGCACGGCCAGTGTGGGGCACACGCAATGGCTGGGGGTGATCCTGGTGCAATCCTTAAGTGCATCCTCAGCTGCCATAATCCTGGATGCGTCTTTTAAGGTCTGTATTTGGTATTGCACGGTTCCTCGTACCAATCACAGGGCGTTTTGACATTATGGCGTCGATGAAGCAAGCAATCTTTTAAATCTTGGACACCCCGTCGCACTCACGCACACGCAGAACGGTAAAAGCTTTTCTATCGCCTCATGACAAGTGGGAACTGAATCCCGTCATCTTTCGTTTGAAAGCATGCAAAGCAGAATGCTTTAACGATCTGAGAAACCTGGATAAGACTGTGGTAATAGCCGTATTCCTCGGAGAAAAAACCAGGAGAATAGAGAAATAGATTGGTTGATATTTCGGCAATATGCCTTTATCAAAATAACAGTAGAATTCACTTTTGTAGCACTTCTGCTATTGTTTCGATAAAGTTATGTTGCCGAAATATCAATATCAACCAATCTATTTCCCCATTATTCTGGTTTCTTGTCCTGAGGAATAAGGCTACTACTTTTGCCTTATCTATGTGAATAATGTTCCTCGCAAAAACACTGAACAACACACGTGATCTGAAAACCTGTTTAGTGTAAAGTTTGAACCTTTGAAGAAAGACACCCAATGCTTACAGATATGCGGTATCTAACGTTTCGTGGATGCGGATGCCAAAGGGCATTCTGTAATGTTTGCAGACAAGACTAGGCTATTCCACTTGCGTTCATTGTACCAGTTGACGATGTCTTGCACTTTTGATGACACGATCCCGATTTACCTCAAATTAGATAAACCTCATCCCATTTCTGCAGCCCACTTCGAAACCACCCGATGCCCTCCCCCCCCCCCCCCCCCTCTCCTCCCCCGCTGATGTGTGAGGCGAATACCGGAGCCATGTACAGGCGTGTGCACATTCGAGTGCTAACGCCTGGTTTGTTCATTCAGTCGGAAGAGGCTCTTCCGGCGTCGAAACCAGCCAATGCGGACAAGGCTGGCAAGCCTGTGGACCAACCAGACAAGCCGCAGACCAAAGACTGCCAAGCCCAAGTCAAAGCGGCCGGTAAGTGACGTGCAATCGACCGCGGCCTGCTCCGTTAAAGCCATACCGCAACCATTTAGAATGTTAATCTGACA